TTCAGAAATCCAAATCTCATGCTCCAAAAAAACAACTCTCATGCATTCTCTTACCAAGAGAAGGCATGACTAGTTAACTTGTGAAAGAAAATGGGGAATTACTTAAGCTCAAGTTTAAAAAAAAGATTATTTAGGGGAATATTTTGGGGCTAGAACAATGGAATTAAAATGAAAATGAAAATGGAGGTGTACATATTAGGAAAAAAATCTTAGACTAAGGGATAAACTATAATAAATAATTTTAAAAAATGCTTTGAACCTAAAATAATTATAATTACTATACTAACTCTTCCTATTTCAAACCATGTACTATGGTAGATGTTTCCTGGACATAATGATCCTAGTAAGTTGCTTGAATAAAATGAAATGTTTTATTCATTCATTCAACAAATTTGCCAAACAATCAGTTACTGAGCTAAAAGCTTAGAAACTACAAAGTTGAGTTAGCTATAATAGTGCCTTCCCTTATGGTGCATATTTTAAGGATGGGAGACACGTGAATAAAAAACCATGAGATGACAGAACATAGAGTACAGAAAGTCTGGGGTCTAGTATACCAAAATAACTTTTGAACTTGAATATAGATCAGCTTTCACCAAATAAAAAACTAGCTTATGAAATAAATAATTATCACCCATGAATAATGTGTTTCCTTAAACAACTGACTATATATGAGACAAATTGGTCAACACCCAAAATTAAAGAAGAAAAGATGAAGAGAGGAAGGGGAACAGAACAAACAGAATGGAAATACTGAGAATGCTGACACATTGTACAAATTCTAACCAAGGACAAAGAACAACCTGCATAAAAATTGCAAAGAGGAGCCTAATTTGCTGTTTAAGCTTTCACCTAAAACACAGCAAAATATTATTTGAAAAATAAACAAAAAAGCACAAAACCCCCAAACAATGAGATAACAGCAATTAACTGAAACATACATAAGGGTATTCGGAAGAATTAGCTATTTTCATATGGAACACAGAAATGCTACACAAGAGTTGACATTTAAGCTGGTTTTACATGGAGTATAGAAAGTGCTTCAAGCAAAGCAAACATTTACATAAAGCACAAAATATGCAAAACATGTTTAATAAAGAGTAGTACGTATTTTGGTCCACACTACACTGTATTATAAACACACTGAAGAATGTATATTGTAGAGGGTATCAGGTAAGTCAATCAGTCCCAAAATGAAAGGGAGAGAGAAAAACGCTCATAACATAGACATAAAAAATACTTCCTTTTGGTTGCTGTTAGGTGCCATCGAGTCAGTACCCACTGACTCATAGCGACCCTAAGCACAACAGAACAACACACTGACCAATCCTGGGCCAACCTCACAATTATTGCCAGGCTTGAGCCCGTTGATGCTGCCACTTTGCTAATCCATCTCACTGGGGGTCTCCTCTTTTTCTCTGACCCTCCACCTTGCCAAACATGATATCCAAATCCAGCGACTGGTCCCTCCTGGAGCACTCTGGCTGCACTTCTTCCAACATAGATCTGTTGGTTCTTTTGGCAGCCCATCATGGCACTTTCAATATTCTCCTCCAACACCAAACTCAAAAAGATCAATTCTTCTACAGGATTCTCATTAATTTCAAGCCCCAAGAAGGTCAATAAGGCATAGGTAAACATGTTTCTGGTATTCTGTGCATTCAGCCAAGATCCATCAGATGTCAGCAATGATATCCCTCATTCTGTATCTCTTCTGAATCCAGCTTGAACCTCTGGATGTTCTCTGTCAATGTATGGTTGCAGCTGTTTTTTTATTACCTGTAGTAAAACTTTACTTGCATGGGTTATCAATGATATTGTCCAAGGATTTCCGCATTCTGTTGTGTCACCTCTCTGTATTGACTATGCAAAGGCTTTTGATTGTATGGATCTTGACAAACTATGGACAACATTGTGAAGTATGAGTATTCCAGAACACTTAATTGTGTCCCTTAGGAACCTGTACATAGACCAAAAGGTAACTTGTTTGAACGGAACAAAGGAACACTGAGTGGTTTAAAATTAGGAAAGGTGTGTGCCAGGGTTGTAGTAGTCTTTTTTTGGGTTAGATAAATTTTATTACATCAAAAATATCACCAATAGATCTTAGGAATCACTGGGCCTTGCTCCCACAGCTTTTATATTTTACTCATTGGCCTGTTGGATAGTTCCTTTTTCAGACACATAGATACCATACAAACATTTTTGGATATGCTGAATTAAAGCAGCTGAATTTGATACGTCAATGTAATTTCCTTCAAGAATTAATTCATCTTTCTGGGCTTGAGATACTGAACAAGCAAATCCTGCCCTCATCTGGACCCTATGAAAGTATTTTTCACCCAAGAAGTTTTAGATTTCAACAAGAGACCCATTCTGTTGTATAGCAAAGTTGATGGGGAAGTGGGCATACACACACTTCATCTTGTAACGGAAGCCCACTTTAACGCCCTTGATCATATTCTGCATGACTACAGATTGTGTGAACTGTAGCCAGCTCATTTCTATTTCAATGCAAAGCCTCTTCTTTTTCTTTCCAAGGAGACTAAGTTCTGCATTAATGTGACTGAAGTCCCTTCTCAAGGTTCCTCTGGGACCCTTCACAATAACTATGTGTCCCTTCAGACTGATGGCAACATTCTCTGGAATGGTTGTATTTTACAAGCCAGGGTTGTATTTTTTCACTATACTTATTCAATCTGTATGCTGAGCAAACAATCCGTGGCATCAGTATTAGACGAAGACTCATTAACAACCTGCAATCAGCAGATGATCCAACCATGCTTGCTGAAAGCCAAGAACACTTTAAATACTTATTGTGAAGAGCAAAAAGACCACAGCCTTCGGTATGGGTTGCATCTCAATGTAAAGAAAACAAAAACCCTTACACCACAGGCCAATAAACAATATTCATATAACTGGAAAAACGACTGAAGTTGTGAAAGATTTCATTTTGCTTGGATCAACCATCAACACTCATGGTTCAACCATCAACACTCATGGAAGTAGCAGTCAAGAAATCAAATGATGAACTGCATTAGGCATATCTTCTTTAGAAGTGCTGCATTCATATAAGACCTCTTTAGACGTGTTCAAGAGCAAAGACGTCAGTCTGAGGACTAAGGTGCACCTGACGCAAGCCATGGCATTTTCAGTAACTTCATATGCATGTGAAAAGTGGACAAGGAATAATAAGGAAGACTGTAGAAGAACTGATGCATTTGAGTTACAGTGCTGGAGAATAATAAAAGTACCATGGACTGCCAAAAGAACAAATCAGTATGTGTTGGAAAAAGTACAGCCAGAATGCTCCTTGGAAGCCAGGATGTTAAGAGTTCATCTCTCATACTTTGGGCATATTATCACATAGTCCCTAGAGAAGCACATCATGCTTGGTAAAGTGGAGGGTCTGCAAAAAAGGAGGAAGACCCCAACGACATGGACTGGCAGAGTGGCAGCAGCAATGGGCTCATTGCTTGAGAGGATGGCACAGAACAGGGCTGAGTTTTGTTCTGCTGTGGTTAGGGTCACTATGAGTCAGAAACAACTGAACGGTACCTAACAACAACATAGACTCAGGAGAGGCAACCCCTGAAAATGTTAAGAGGTAAGAAAATACAAGAATCCAGAGTCCTATGTAAAACGCTAGGACAAATCAAGAGAAACAAGATTCAAGTTTACAATTTCAGGGGCAATTATGTGATATATAGGAAGTATCAGGAGATCTAGGTCCTGTGGAAAATTTCCAGGGTTATCATAGTCTCATCTGTAAAAACTGATATTCCCCACAAATCTTTCCTTAATTGTCAGTAGAGGTAATAATGACTAGAGAAAAAACCCACAGGTATATGACAGAAATATTCCCCATATTTTATATTGCATTTACTAATTTAGAGAATATGTTATTTAACATAACAGGAGATTGTTTTGGCCTTTGCAACAACAGTTTCATGAAAAATTAAGTCCCTTGTTGTTAAATATAATCCTGGATCCCAACAGTTCCCCAAGCTTTTTAAGGGTCCTCTCTCTCTCCTCACTACACATCTATGCAAACCTGGATTTTTCCACATACTTCAACTAAAATAATATATTACAAGACTTAATCCAGAAGCAGATGTGAATGAGAATCCAGGCACATTCAATTAAACAGACAATAAAATGATTTTAGAAAATATAGCACAATGACATTCTTCTTACTTGACTTCTATATTACTTAACTTTCATAAAAATTTACATTATTTCTCCTAACACATAATGAGTTCATATTGCTATTTTATGATGAATTATTATAGAGTCCTGGTATGGCACTATTGGATAGGCACCAATAGTTAACCACAAGATTGGAGGTTCAAACCCATCAGCTGCTCCTTGGAAACTTCTGCAGGGTTGCTATGAATCGGAACCAAGTCAACAACACTTAACAAGAACAGCAACATTAGCCACAAAAACAAAAGCTCTCTGGTGGCTTTTGTTAGTTTTTAGCAGTAGAAATAAATAATGCTCTCAGACAAAGTTTAAGAACTACTGTCTCAAGGCATTTGCTGCATAAAATAGTTTATTGTCTATGTATTTAAGGTAGGAGAATAGAGAAAATAATCACTTAAGTCACTTTCTGGTTTTTGTTTTTCAGATGAGAAACCATCATTAGAAACTATATGACACGGCATGTGAAGTTATTCTATGACACTGCTATTTTTATTTTGCTTTACAGACACGCATAATATTTTCTTAGAAATATAGTTAATTTCTAGGCATTTCTGTTTAGAGGTAATTGTCTGAGCATTCACTCAGACACAATTACCAACACCCAACATTTTGTGGCACATGGGCTGAAAATACTATGTAAGACTTACATCCTCTGGTATCCTATAGCTAATAGTATACCAATGTCTAATTAACCATGATGACAGACATAAAATCATAGTAAAACAAAACATACAATATACTTATACAAAACAACTTTATTAAGAAGTCAGACAATATACTTGTGTTATACTTACTGTATCCCATATCTGAAGTTTTATCTGTTTTCCATCAATAGTTATCATTCGAGCACCAAACTCTACACCTGAACAGAACAGAAAACAACTTGTTACACACACTGGCGGGAGTATTTCTTACATTTAAAATAAAAAAGGGCATCTATTTCCAGGATATGCTATGCTAGGTAATATACAGACGACCAACTGTAACAACTTAGCTTTTATCTTTAGAAAAGCAATAAGCCAAGGCAGAGAAGTGTTAATAAGACATAAGCTAAAAACATAATTAAAACACCAAGATAACCAAGTCTGGCATAGTGAATACCAGGAAACCTACTGTGACTGTCATATTTTTCATACTTAGAAATACAGATTTGAGCTATAATTTTTTAATCAACAAATATTAAATGCTAAAATTTCTTAGAAACTAAATAATATGGTAAAAGATAACTAAAAGGAACAATTGAATTCCAACATTTTGCTCTTGTTTTCCAGCATGGGTTATCAACTAGGAAAAAAATATAAAAATACGTCCATTAGAACATATATACAAATAGATATATAATACAAATTATGATCTGCAAATGGCTTTTTCATTCATGTTATAAATATTATTCTATACCATCAACATCATTCCATGTCAATAAAAACATAAAACCAAACCATTGTTTTTATGTCCGAACAATATTCCTTTATATGTGTACACACACAGGGCTAAGTCAAAATGTATAACTAGGGTTCCAGTTCATACATGCATGGATTTATTTCAAAGAAAACATGTTCAAATATGTCTGTCTGCAAAGACCGTATTTTTAATAGTGTTGCTGGATTCATTGTTTCACATGATTTTCTATGCTGAGTTCATTTTCTTTGTGGGTTTTCTTTTCATTTTCATTTCTGTTGTGTTAATGTTTACTAAAAGCTTTCTGATTTTCCTCTTTTTTATTTTGATGTGCAGATGTATTATTTTTCTGAGATTACTCTGTAATTTATTCATTTTTCCCCCCTGCTTGAAAGTCTGTTTTTATCTTGAAATACTTGACTTCCTTGCCATTTGGAAGTTTTGTACCTATACTATTCACTCGCTTTTTGCTTTGTAGATGACTTCATTATACATTGGTATCTCTGGTGACATATTTTCAGTTTTACAGGTTTGTTTTACTTTAAATACTTCTGTGGTGTTGTAGGATAAGCACTGGATTGCTAATCACAAGGATGGCAGTTTAAATCCATCAATCACTCCTTGGAAACCCTTACAGGGTCACTGAGTTGAAACTGACTCAGAAGCACTTAACAACAACATATCTGGATTGAGTTCTGGGTGGTGTTGTCGTGTATGGTTATCTCAAGTTGTTGTCCGCTGGTATTGGTTCTCAAGAGTTCTAAGAACACACTTTAGCAATTTTTATAAAGTTGGTATGGTCACTACAATTTCCTTTTATGTCTGTTTATTAGAAAATGTCCTAATTTTGCCATCATATTTGAGGGACAGCTTTGTTGGGTAAACGATTCTTGGCTGGCTGCTTCTTTCTTTGAGTGTTCTGTATATATCATCCTATTGCCTTTTTGCTTACATGGTTTCTGCTGAGAAATCAGAGCTTAGTCTTATTGGTTCTCCTAATTTTTTGTTTTTCCTGAGCTGCTCTCAGGGTTCTTTCCTTGCCTTTGATTTTAGTAAGTTTGATTATGATATGGCTTGGTGATTTTCTTTTATCCTGTTTGGGGCTTGTTCAGATTTCTTGTTTGTTTATTTTCTTGTCTTTCATGATGTTATGGAAATTTTCTTTCAACAACTCTTCAACAATTTTCTCTGTGCTTGTCTCTTCCTGTTCTGGAAGACCAATCACCTGCAAACTGTGTCTCTTCACTGTGTCTCACGTAATTCTCAGGCTTTCTAGATTTCTTCTGATTGTGCTTCTAGCATAGTAGTATTGAGCGATTTCTCTTCAAGCTAGCTAATTCCGGCTTCTACTGCTTCACATCTACTCCTTTGCCCTTTCAATGTATTGTCCAATCCTTAGTATTAATCTTCTGGATTTCTAATCACAGGTTTTGAATTGTTTCAAAATTTGCACTTATTTTGTCTGTTTGTTCTTGTAGTGTTTTCCTGAATTCTTCTAAAGTTTTTATTGTGTTCTACTTACTTTCCTCGATCCTTTGAAGATCCATAGTTATTCTTTTTCAGTTATTTCCATTAGCTTTTTTCCTCAGAAACGTTTATTGGCTCTGCGTCTCGGTTTGAGTCATACTCTCTTGTTTCTTGTTGCTTTGTGCCATGGAGTCGGTTCCAACTCATAACAACCCTGTACACAGGGTTTCCGAGGCTATAAATTTTTACGGGAGCAGAAAGCCTCATCTTTCTCCCACGTAACAGCTGATAGTTTTGAACTGCTGACCTTGAGGTTAGCAGCCCGATTTGTAACCACTACGCTATCAGAACTCCTTTCTTGTTTCTTAGTGTGAGCTAAAATTGTCTGTTGTCCCCAGTGCATTGGGGGGTTGTCATATTTGTAGAAATAAACAGTGCAGTTGTTGGACTGGAAGGAGAAGGGGCGGATCGCTGGTGGGCTCCTGCAATTCAAGGAGCTCATGAGGTGATTGTGAAAGGGATGTAACAGCAGAGTTTCTGGCCCTAGATAGAGTTCCTACTGGCCTTGGTGTTATTTCTGTTCCAGGTAATAAATCCAGTAGTAGTTCATGGGAGTCCCTTTTAGAGCTGGTTTCAGTGTCTGTTAGGGCCACAGGGAAGCTGGGGCAGCATGTCTGACTAAATATTAGTCTTGTGGCTCTGATGATTTTGTAGGTCCACAGCTGAACCCAATTGAATTCAGGCACCAAAGTAGCACAACCAGCCCCCACCTCATAGTAGCATGGCTCCAAACTCCCTGAGAGTGTCTGCACAGGGGGTGGATAAGGGTGGGAGCTGTCCACACTTCTGGTAACCAGGGTACCGTGGGAAACAAGAAAAAAATCACACCCTTTCTGTTGCCCTCTATAAATCCACTCTGCCAGGCCTAGCTCCACTGCCAAAGCTGGTTAAGCCACGTCTGGCCAGTCATTCACCAGTCAGTCCCCATATCTCGCCATCCCTGCTCAACTTCTCCTCCTAGCGAATACTTCATACACCTGTCTAACCTTTCTTCTGAAGTTCAGGGTGCCAGAATTTTCATCTGTATCTGTTTAATTTTTTCTCTCATATCTTTGTTGTAGAGGGTTTTTGCAGTGCACCTGCCTAGTCCGTCATCTTGCCAGAACTGGAATAAGTATTTTATGGTTATGTGGGGAAGGCCTTAAAATGAAGGAACTGTGGCTGAAGTCCAAAAACTGGTGGAAGACGACAACAGAATTAGCACTGATGGAATATTTACTGAAGCTGGGATCCAAATGGTTCAGAATTCTCATTTTTAAGCAAACAGCCTCAGCAGGCTTGTTTTGCTCAAACACACAGCACGTAAATCACTTAGTTCAAAGAGCTGATCCTTTCTTTCATCATTCTTTTAAGCAAAATTGAAGCTAAAGAAGACAATTTTATTTAACAAATCTAAACTGGTCTTGGAATTGCCAATATAATCCACAGAACAAGGTCCAACCAAAACAATGGCTTCTTTTTGTTCTCGAAACTCAAAGAACATTTATAAGGAACACAATTTGAGTCCTTTAAGGATGTCAAAATTGCTCTTCTGATGAGGTGTATAAATAAAAGGAGGGCAATTTTTTTTTTGGGGGGGGGAGGTTGTTAAGTGCCATCAACTCAGTTCTGACCCACAGTGACCCTGTATTGGGTTCCCAAGAAGTAAAGTAGCTGGTGGATTTCAACTTTCAGCTTTGCAGTTAGCAAAGTCTTTATCCTACAGTGCCACACTAGGACTCCTGGGGAAGGATTGTTGTTAAGTGCCTGTGAGTCAGTTCCAACTCATAGCGACCCTATATAGTAAGCAGGGGTGAGGAACTTTTATTCTGTCGAAGACCATTTGGATATTTATAACATAATTTAAGGGCCATACAAAATTTATCACGGTAAACAATTAGCCTGCTACATTTGGTCAAACATTTAATTAACACACTCCTCCTGCTGTGGCCCTGTGTGTTAATGCGCCAGACTGCAAAGCCGTTTAAATTGCAAGGCTGGGGTTTCCAGCTGCTCCTTGGAAACCCTATAAAGGGTCGCAACCGACTCGATGGCACTTAACAATAAAACAAAGTGATGGCAACACTAGGGGTGAGTTAATGTTTTAACAGTTTGTCGTACTATGGTGGCTTGTGTGTTACTGTGATTCTGAAAGTTATGCCATTGTATTTTAAATACCAGTCAGGTCACTGCTGGTGGACAGGTTTTGGCTGAGCTTCCAGACTAAGATTAGCAAAAAGGAGAGATGGACTACTTCTGAATATTTAGTCACTGAAAACCTTATGAATAGCAGTGAAACACTGTCAGAAGGAGAATACTGAATACTGAAACATGATGAAGAGCACAAGAATATTGTTAGGTAAAGTGCTGAAAGATGAGGACCACAGGTCGGAAGGTACTAAAAATACAACTAGGAAGAGCTGGCTCCTCAAAGCAGAGTTGTCCGTAACAATGTGAATGGAATAAAGCCTTTGGGGATCATCATTTGCTGATGGGCACAGCTTAAAATGAATAGAAACAGCGGTTGTTGTTGTTAGGTGCCATCGAGTCGGTACTGACCCATAGCGACCATATACACAACAGATCGAAACACTGCCCGGTCCTGGGCCAACCTCACAATTGTTGCCAAGCTTGAGCCCACTGACACTGACACTTTGCCAATCCATCTCACTAGGGGTCTTCCTCTTTTTCTCTGACCCTCCACCTTACCAAACATGAGATCCTTCTCTAGAAACTGGTCCCTCATGGCAATATGTCTGAAGTATTAGAGACAAACTGTGGCCATCCTGGCCTCCAAGGAGCACTCTGGCTGCACTTCTTCCAACACGGATCTGTTGGTTCTTTTGGCAGCCCATGGTACTTTCAATATTCTCCTCCAACACCATAACTCAAAGACATCAATTTTATGGTCTTCCTTATTTTCACTGTCCAGCTTTTGCATGCATATGAGATTACTGA